CAAAGATGGTGTGTGATTACATGATAATGATTATGAGCGATGATAATTTATGCTGGAAACATCATCCATTAAATAATACTTTATCAGGTTGCTGACTATTGCAGATAAACAAAACTAACATGGATATGATTTACTTTTATCAACTGATAGAATGATTCTCTTTGCCATGATTAAATTCTTTGTTCTTATTATTCATCGAGAAAATAATGAGTTATGATGTAGCATTTCAGTCACAGCCAGAAGTGAATTTGAAGTGGTCTGGCTGTAATTATCCTTCAGTATTTTTATTTAGTCTTCATTGGGAAGTTTTAGTTGTTAGTGTCAAATATCAGAAGTTTTTTGTCCGGAAACCTTAAATGAAGGTTTCCTGCTGGTTGCAAGTCGTACAACCCATGGGGAGACTGGGACATCTTGAAGTATTCGAACTGACATCACTCCATAATGAAGTCAACGATCTCACCATTTAGCAATTCACGTCGACTGTAAACGAATCTATCACTAGTAAATAATTAAGGTAGTACTAACTAGATGGAGAGAATTCGACTGATGTCTAGCAGTAAGAACTAGACAGCTACATCCATTACCTCCTCAAGATGCATTCATGTAGGTTTTTTCTACGTTTATTAAAGTTGAGTACGTGTTCAAAGTACTGATGACACTCTCATGACTAATTTTAGTTGACTGATTGACTTATATTCTCGAGACAACTCACCTGTGAATCTGAAAATTCAGCGTGATAAATGACTGAAAAGAACCTATGTAATATTGGTGTTGTTACTTGTATTATACCGTCGTTGGTCGGACAGAATTGATCGATCTCTATTGGCATACAGCTTCCTGCGCGGATACCTCGATATTTTCTATGGTTTTAATTATATAGTAATGATGGTTAGTGGCCAGCAGTGGAATCCAGGATGCGCATTTCGTCCTGTTTGGGACTCATCAGCCGGATATACCAGCCTCACACTGAGTGGTGTTGTTGGCGGTCGAAGCAATCGTTCGCGAGTTCGAATCCTGATGGGGGCAACATCACTCAGTGGGAGGCAGGTACACATCCAGCTGACGAGTCTTGAATAGGACGAAACGCCAGTCTTGAATTCCACTACTAGTCGCTATCCATCATTACCATATAATATTTCCCATATTGTCCCCCAACTATTTTCTAGACTTTGATAGGTTCACCGAGGCGAAAAGATTTTCATCCAATTTCACTTTTCTCTCATGTTCATTATTTTGCTTAGCTCAGAAGACTAGATAATTACGTATCTTGAAGAATTATAACCTAAACCCTAAAATATACCTTAATATTCCTAGCAGAAAGCATTTATTTTTCGCCAAAAGATTAATGAAGGTAGAGTAGTTAGGATTTCCTCATTATGTAAGATTTTTGACAGTCTTATTTCAGTCTATGAACTCACTTATACAAAAGATGGTGTAATATAGGGATAGGTAAGGTCATATGACAAGAATTGATCAGTGGATTGTAACCAGTTCACTTGTCAAGTTCTGAGTAGTCAGGGCTGATTCAACTCTGACCGAGTTTACGATGTCATTAACATATCACTAAGGTATACTTTATTTTAATATTACAGCACTCAAACTTAGAAGAAGACATGTAAGCGAACAGTATGGTTTTCAAGTAGATCCTCTTCAGGCTTTACTCTGATATATGGACAGAAACTAGGTGTTAAAAAGATTTAAAGAGATGCATTCTTCACTCACTTTCACTTGTAAAGAAGAAAAGGCGAGTAAACTACACTTTAGGATGATTTTAATCAGCAGTTGTGTTCATAGGAAGACCATATCAATATGTCAGTAACTACATTTTCTTAGCTATGCGCCCATTTGGTACAAAGTAAGCCTGGTTAAATGTCTCACAAACAGAGAGAGAGAGAGAGGAATATTTTCGTATGATTTCATACATGAGTTGGAATATATTCGTAACTGATTAATCGAAATGGCCACCTTAACAGTCTCATAAAAAGACACATAAACAAAGCAAGAGGAAATAAATCTGGAATTATAACCGTTCAAATAGAAACTTTGTTCACTTTTATCTCATCTCGTTGACAGTGGTCACTTGATACATAAAAACAATCTGCATACGAACTATTCTTTCAAAAGGTAGTCGGACTTGTATTCCACAACACGTAGCACAAGCCATAGGAATTCCAGCCATGAATCCTAACCTATATATGTAGAAGTTTCTATACCACTTATCTCTCCCACGGCCATAAATACTTGTAATTTTTCAGATACCTTAATAATTACTGTGCCCTTTTCATATGCTTACTATATTTGTTTAGACTTCGTTTTCCAGTATTACATAACTCTTATTATTCCAAAATTCTGACCTACTTTAATCATCGAAGTGTCTAGATTTTCATTCTGTTTTCTTGATTTTTATCATCATCACTATCATCTATTTTGAGGTTTGTGGGGACTGAGCTCAGTTGAAGGAACATTGGAGACCTGGAAGCACTGTACACCTACTTCGTCCTAGTACAGAAATTTTCAGCCCTACGCACCCATAACCTCGCCTTACCACAGATCACACCCAGGACCCTCAGGTTCGGCGGCCGTTAGGTAACTGTCTCCATGTTCGACTTGGCTAGCCCCACTGGTCACGACTTCTCATTGGGACTCCGGACATCACCTCTCGAAGCCAGTCATCATTGGATTCCAATCCAGCGGATCAATGGTAGCATGCTGACCATGGAACCATAAGGACCTAGGTTGGATTCATGGTGGGGTCATAGGTGCGCACTGACGAGATGTCCCACACTAGGACGAAACAGGTGCCAGTGCTCTCACCTCTCCAGTGTTTCTCCAACTGATATCAGTCCATGATGAATACCAACCTGAAATCACCATCTATGCTACAACTGGTTTAGTCAATACTGTCAACCTTATCATTATTATTATTATCCCCATCATCACCTTAGTGCATTTATCTCATTGAATGACATATCTACGTGATTCGCTCAATTTTTATGCATATTTAGCTATTTATATTAGAGGAAAACCTGAAGAGGATCTAATTCAAAACAAGGCCTTTGCTTATGTGCCCTATTTTAATTTACATGATGCAAACTTTCAAAAACACTTAAAACTTAACGGCCATATAACAGTCAATCTGCAAAGATCCTTAAACTTTATAACCAAACTAATTCTACAGGGAGTCAGCCATTACGTCAACAGGTGACTGTTTATAACATATTATAGATCGGATCATTAAACAAGCTGCAGCATGAAGAGAAACTTCAGAAGATGGTGACAAATTTAGGGAAGGGTGATAATATTATCGATCAAATATGAATGATATAACTTCTAGGAATTACATTGAAGCTTAGAAAATATAATAGAATGAAGTGAACACCTACAAAAAGTAAAATGATACAAAAAACACAAAACTAAGTGTAGTGTAATAGTAATAGTTGATTCATGGTTCTGAAAACGCAGTTCTGGCAGATATAAGATAACAATCATTTTGACAAGTAGACACATACTTGGCCTACAGAATTCATAACAGATTCTTTTGTAATTTGTTAATATTTTTAATTGCCCGTTGATCAGCTTACTGGACTGAATTAATCTTTTGCTGTTGAGGTATCGGGCTCACATGAGTATGTCTTGATATTGCTTACAGATTTATCTTGATATAATCCGATTGGAAGTGGTTTAGTACTGGAATCCAGAATCCACCTTTCGTCCATCTAGAGGCTTGTCAGCTGGATGTTACTGTATCTTAGTGAGTGGTAGTTCTTTCAATAAAACTTGAGTCAAACACTCATCACTTCGAACGCCACTGTTATTCCCTAGGCTATTAAGCCAACGGGAACAAACGACTGAGAATATTGTAGGTCAAGTGGACGATCTTGTTGTTGCCTTTCCTGGGTTAGATGGATTAACTGTGAAGCTTTCATGGTCTATCCAGACAGCATCATCAGTATACAAACTGAAAGAGCTTAGAAGTACGACAAGCGCCTATGGTATTCATAGCTCCGAATGAGAATAAACGAACTCGGTGCAACCCAGTGCAAAATTTCCTTATAATTTATTTTAGTGATTAAAATGTTCACACTTTGACTTTGATACTGGTCTGCCCTTTGTTCTTATTCTTGCCATATTTATATGACTAGTGAGGTCCCACTTTTAGTTTACATATTTTATTGTGCGTTGGTTGAAGACACTAGACAAAAAGCCATGAATGAAGGTATCATGGTGGTCGGCAGTCGTTAGCAATAGATATTTGAAACTTCCAGGAGACTGATGGCCCTTAAAAGAATTGAACACGGGTCATCTATTGCTCTTGTTTGGTCACTACTGATCTCCTCAGGAACTAAGATTCCCTCCAAATTAAACTCAGAATCAATCAAAGTGAATCACAATGATCAGTCTGACTGCTTGGTGATGTTTTGTTGTAACTTCTGCGAAAGCGAAGAACTTTTACACTTGAGTGGCGCCGAGTCTTTAAATATCCCAGACACTTCAGTTTATTGTTAGGTGCTAGCAGTCAATCAGTAGCATGCTCTTGACCAAGGTTTCATGATTTCTGGAAGTCACCAGCAAGGCGCTACTGCAAGCATGAGGGAACTGATGCTTTTTTGGTGACGTGAACCCGTGTCAGTGAGTTCTAAGCTAGAAACATAACCTTTATGCTAATTGGACAGTGACTGACCCCCTGGATTGTGTACACTAGTTGGTCACCAGTATGCACCCGATGTGGCTGTCTGTTCATTGGCCCCAAATAACAATCGAAGTATGTAGAATAAGTTTTGAAATCTCACCACTAAGTGAAGTGACGTGACACTTCAATTCTCTATTTCTTAGCTCTATCAGTTGGTTTCGACAGCAGAATAATCCAGTCAAACTGCTTATGAATCCGACTTTCAACAAATGAAACGACCGGCGAATGCTCAAATAATCTCAATATCACTAGTGGAAGTTGTCGATCAACGTGACTGCATTCTAACTGTGCATATAAATCATAAAGTTTTCAGATTTTCGCTTTATTCTATCTAACAAATATGAATTGAAAGCTAAACAAAAAAGGTCATAATTTACAGAAAATCATTGAGAGAAAAAGCTGTGTAAGAAAAAGTAAAAGAGATATTTTGCTGAACAGTCTCTTTTAAATCAACATGTCAGTGTACGAAGAGTGTTTATCAATCACAATGGTATACAAGAAAGTCAGATATTTCGTATACCTGGCGGATGAATGTAAATCAACAGGTATGTATTGAAAGTGGACTGTTAACCATATTTTTGTTCTGACTGTTATTGATTCATTATATAAGAGAATCTTGAATTTTATCGGACCAAGTTACTTGAATAATAGAATCTAAGACAAATTTATTCATGAATTCGATATGTTCCATCACAGTCAGGATACTGTCAATATGTAAGTATGAAAAAATTAACTGATTTCACTGAAAAGAAGCTATTTCTACTTTCTGATTGAATTGTTACATCAAGATATGGTGTGTTTATTCAACTTATTAACTGTTTCAATCAACTCATATCCTCAAAATTACCATACAGATATCCACTTGTCATTAGATTTGTTTGTGAATCTCTTCTTGGAATAACTGGATTCAAACTGTTGCTTGGAAATGTAATAGACACATGTGTTGTAGAACCAGTATATTTTGATGTTGACTGACTGAAATTATTTTTATTGTTGACTAGTATATTAGAATTTTGTGATAAATTGTTAATGGGTGCAGAAGAATCATTCATACCATAGCTGATAAGTTTTGTTGTTTTATAAGTTGGACAGTAATTTGTGAATATTCTACTTGGAAATGTTGTCCGTTCAACAGATGTCATATTGTTTCTCATTTGACCATTTTGATCTGTGTCAAGCACAGATGCCGATGATGTATGCAGCTGAATACTTTTCTCTCCACCATGAAGGCTAAAACAATAACAAAGACAATAACACCAATGACGAATGTAATGGAATTACTTTGATACGATAAGTGATGGGAGATGCATTCAAAAAGAAAAGTATCGGTTGCATTAATTACTAGCTCCTGAGTATCACTATAGAAAGGTAACTTTGACATTCTTAAGGTAATCAGATGCTTCCACCACTGGTACGCTCCATGGCTCGATTAAGCGGTGTGGGTGCTTGCGCTGCTGGCCTGAAAAACGGCGATTACTGGTCAAGCCTAGTTATGGGACGATGGTCAGGCTCCACGTGCTCCCACTGGATAACAACCAATCTACCATGAGAGTTGATAAAGAGATAAACGCGACCTACGAGATCCGTATGAGCAAGTCAGTGGCGCCAACGGCATGGCTTACCGTCCAAATTTCGCCTAGTGTGCTGGAAGCAAACCCTGCAAAGGTGGATGATATTCGATCTGAAATGCTGGATGTCGTGTTTCTTAAGCTTAGTTGTTTATTGGTAGCTAGAAAGGAATGGCCGCTGTAAATCCCTTGGTATATCTAGTTCATAAAACAGGCTCTTTAGAGAAATGAAGTTTTGGAAACTTGAGCTGCATTTTGTTCTGCAAGAATGTAGAGATTCAGTGCGATGTATTTCATGGATTTCCACCCAAGGGGAAATAAGTACGATCAAATGATCCAATTAGTCGAAGAATGTGGATATATCGAAGCCTGACAGACAAAAAGGTCCTGACATTACACTGATCAGTTTTAAGTCGGGGGTGTTAACAGAATGTTGTAGCAAGAATATTTATGTAAGTGCTGCTGTAATGTTCCCTAGTTGCCGAAGGGAGACCATCCTACCCCTAGGTTTTTGGATGATTACCTCCATGAAGATGGGGTTCGGCCCGAAAACGGGAGCTGAGCCCAAAATCTGAGTAAAACTCTGTAAAGAAAGTCAACTGTGGCTCTCAATACACAAGTTGGTTATGAGATAACAGTTAGTGTGGCTGTCAGACCAAAAGTGATAACGAGAGTCTACCACTTAAATAGTATTATACGTCAGTGTATTCCTTTTTGTGTTAGGTATAAGGAATAAATCCCCGGACAATTCTAGACTTTTAGATAGTTTCGCTTCATAAAAGCTTTTCTTTTTAACATTGTTTGCCCAATTTCAGTTGTCATCAAATAAAGGGAGACTGTGATGACTAATTCGCTTTGTGTGTTAACATTTTGCGGATTCACAAAGGTGGTAAGAAGGTGGATTTTTTTCTGCTGATTGTATTCATGATATACACCCATGTGTTTTACATTACATGACATACTATTTAGAATAAAATGAAACATTTGATAAAAATGCTTTTTAAAGAAAATTGTATTGATCTCTTAAGGTAGTCTTGATAGTTACCATAGTTATAGAGTAGAATGTCTATCAGCTGAATGTCGCAAACAAACGCTCCAACTGTCATAATTGTATATGAATAAGTTCACTGAATACACATTGACCAGTATGAACTGGTGTCACGTGGTCAACTAATACACGTTCATGAAAGCATCAACATTTCAACTCTAACTACTAGACAAGATGAATAACCACTGAACTCATCACTGACGAATGAAATCCGTGCCTATATAGTGAATATTCTACGAGTTACTGAAATGCTATTGCGTTTATGATCCTCAGTCAACTATTGATCGATCATCATTTTCGCCTTGTTGAAGTCAATAAGATTTGTTAACCATAATGGATTTAATACTGCAAGAAGGAAGCAAATTTCAGAAACTGGAGTCAACAAAAGACCTAACAGAAAAAGTAGAAAGGGACCTAATCGTCTTAATAAAGAAAATGAAAGATGATGGATGCATTTCGTCAACCTCATTAGAAAATTCGGAGCCTATAGGCAGCACGATTCTACGGATGTATGGTCTACCAAAAATACACAAACCTAAGGTGCCTTTTTGCTCTATTCTAGACATGATCAACTCAACTTACTATGCTATCGCTAAATGGCTAGCAAGATTACTTCAATCTTTGCGTGACCAATACCGTGAAAAACACCTTCCAGTTTGTAGACAGTAAAAAACTTGAATGTTTTAAACAAATGTATAGGATTCTTAAACGTCACATCTTTGTTTGCTAGTCTCCATCTAATAGAAACCGTCCATTACATTTGTGAACAATTATTGGAAAGGAAATTAGACACTGGCATTCTTTTGATGAATTTGAAGGAACTATTGCTACAATATACAATGAATGTCCAGTTCATATTCAACAGTAATCTGTACTGACAGATTTACGGAGCGGCTACAGGATCTCCATTGGGTCCAATATTTGTGGATATATTTTTGTCAAAATTGGAAAATGATCCTTTGAAAAATCAACTTCACAATATGGAGTTGTACTGTCGATACACGGATGATACCTTTTTATTCTTCGATAAGTGCATATGTATTAATGCAGCACAAACGTTATCTAGTCAGGTGTTTGACATTTAGAGTAAGATCAACTTAACTCAAGGAGTGTATAGAAAAAGAACTACTGTTTGTCCTTGATATTCTAAGTGAAAAAGGATATCCTGTTAAGTTCAGCAAAGCTAAAATGAAATACATTGGTCCTAAACAAGAACGAATGCATAAGCAATTCAACGGAGGTGCCGCAAGTGACATTCTATCACAACGCCTAGCCACAGTAGCCAATAGAATGTTTTATACAGGTAGGCTTTGTATATCCCTAAGTAGTTGGCCAATGCTCAAATCGAGACATAAGGATAGCCTACCATATCTTAGCTCTTCATCTTGCATATTCCAACTTACTGTTCCTGTGGAACCACTAGACAGAAACGTCTCTACATTCAAGAGCATTTGCCAGCTTGGTTGGTGAAGGGCGAATTGAACATGGTGAAAAGTTCAGTCCTAGTGCATCTAGTCGACACTGCATCACGTACATACCAATAAAGATTTCAATGTCATTCATCGTGTTACAAAGACTATACCACATGTAGCTCGGCAACGCCTGCTCAACATAGCGGAGGCAATGGCAATCAAATTGATGAAATCCTAACTGTACATTCAGAAAAGACAAGTTCATGCCTTATTTCTGTCTATCTTATTCCTTGTGTTTTATTTCACCACCACATCCTTCAAATGTACACGTGTCATCTCGACACAGACAAAATGAAAAATCGATTTCCCTACAATCCCTTAATCTCCTTCCCCTTCACCTTAAACTTGGCCTGTTTTAATACTATACAAATGCATCTTATAATTGTCGAACTTCATGAGAAAATTTATTGAAGAAAATATTCTTCCTTCAAATTGTGGCTTTGTTCATAAGGGATTAATTGTAACTGGTAAAAACTGGTAATAATGTGCGTTTACTTGACTGATATGGTCCTTCTACTTCTCCACTCAACTGAAACTTTCAAGAAAGCTTCAATTAAATCTTTCAAAATATCATATGAAATCCTGTGAAATACCAAAAACTCTATGGCTTGCATATCACTCACCACACAAATAGTTTTATAAGTATCCATATATTTTCACTTAAGTTGGAAAAATTGTTAAATGCAATAGCTTACAGATAAGAAAGAAAGGAAACTTATTTTGTTTCCGACTTATCTTTTTTATCAGTGTGGCGACACTACAAAAGACGCCGAAGTTATGCTTGGTGACAAAATTAAAACTGTACGTATATGTAACAGTTCAAAATAGAAACACATATTTATTTATTATCATTATCGCCTATGTCTTCAGTGCATCCAGTCGAAATTAATCCCTGCAAACTTGAAAGTTACTTTCAATAAGGGATCAGACAAGAAATAACTATTTCCATTGTATGTCGAAGCATGGAACCAATTTGTGGTGGCTAATTAAAGTTGAGACATTCAAAAACACAAAGTAATTCAGTGTAGAAAGTTTTCTTTTCAACGAATCATTTTTAGCAGCTGTAGACTAGTGGTTGTAATAATAACAAACAAACTGACTAGTTTATTATTACGTTGTTACTTTTATTATCCCCTCGTTGATTGGAACGAATTACTTTGTCTTTACTGGCACATGGGCTGCTGGGTCATCAAATGTGATCGACTGTTTATTTTCCTTATACGCATATGATTACACAGTTACTTTCTAACTCTAAAATCGATGCAATATCTCATCATAGAACATACTGTTTAGATAGATGACCTGGTAGTTAAATGGGGGCAATCGACAGGAAGTCGTGGATCTTAGTTTCGTGTTTGTTGGCACTAATCAGCAAGGCGGGTGTCAGGAAACTGAAATCGCGACTGAGAAACGAAACCAAGTCATCCATTGCTGCAGTCAAAGACGTTATAACCAAGCTACTCGGTAGACGACTGACCTCTTGTAGGACTGGACAAGGGAAACTAATTGATCACTGGACGGTACCCAGCGTTATGTGACGTGGGTTACACGGGTTCTAACCACAGGCAGGACACCAGTTCTGTCGAAGTTACAGTTACGCCTCACTGATGAGTAGCAACAAGTGCGGAACGTCAGTGAGTCAGGCCTTCTAGCCGATTGTCTGCAACCAACTAACATCTATTTGAGTACAATGAGATGTTGAGTCAACTAAACTGGTGGCTACATTGCAAAATGATCACTAAAGAATTCCATCAGAACTTAGGACTAGACAATATAAAGTTTGTTACCCTATGCTGACCAATCCGTTTTCCCTAATTTTGACACAGATACAAGTCAACAATGGACTAATCCGTTGGTTCCTTGTTAGTATAAATACCATTGAACAGCTGCCGGGAAATGATTTGTAAAGAATAAAATTAGCTTCACCGAATAACTTTGTGTTTACATTATTTAAGTACAGACGAGTAGAACAGATCAAGATCAAGAATATCTAATCCTTAGGCTGAAAGGGATCAAAATCATCATCTACCCATCTTACCACCTTCGTGGTATCGTTTTAAATAGCCCCTCTCTCTCACACAAATACAGTTTTGAAACGAGACTAGACCAGTTGGTAAACATTTCGGATATGCGCTATGTTCAGTTACAATGTTATTCATAAAACTGCATGTTAGTGGAATGCAATCAGCAGGAAACCATGTTTGAATTAGGTTTCGTAAATATTATCACCAATCAGCAAGATGAACGTGCTTCACCCTCGAGATACTGATGTGCCCAAACATAAATATAAGAAAACAACAGACAATTCATCGAAAAACGTTCCTACGTTTTCAACGATTTCGTTTTCCAAATCTGCACAACTTCATTGATATATATGACATAAACATACGATAATCTGCTATAAAACAACAGTGTTCAAAATGATGCCATTGAATAAGTTGAACAAAACCTCACACATATTATGGAGAAAATCAAAAATGAGTCCAACATCAAACCAAAATTACTCAATCACTTGCAAAATCCTCCTTCCGCTACTCATCACTCACACGGTCCCCCAAATGTACACAAAAAATATCTCACTCAACATCCAATTCTCCACATCAACAATTCACCATCTGTCTGTCAAACCTCATTCAAACAGTCAGAAAACAGATGAATTCGCATAGATGATTGGATTCCATCGACTTCATCGACTCATTTCATAATGTCAATATATCTTATCTGATCAGCGAATGATTTCTCGCAATATGTGATCTCACCCTTCACCAATGTCCCAATCACGGAAACTATCTATTCTCTATGTGATTACATCGGAGATCATAATTTTCACGTGAGTATCTCAAAGCACCATTCAAACGAATCACTTCTGAGATGCACTTTCAATGTGCACTTCAAAAATTCATTATTGAGATAGATGGATAGATAGATGTATAGACAAAAGGATGGAGTTGTCATGGGGTCAGCACTTCGTCCAATGATGACTGATATACCACTCCAGTATAATTTATTAGGTCAGATAGGATAGTTGAAAAGGAGTACACCTTCGACAGTTTAGCACAACAGAAACACTCGTAATGCAATACATCAATTCAAATCTGATCTCTGAGTGCAAAACGAGTATGTTCAATCTCTCATCTTACCATGGTCAAAACACTTTCACAACTTATTAGTTTATCATTATCAACTTCATTACGACCCTCGTCTCATTCTTCACCTTCTTTATATCCATCCATCAATCTATCAAGTGGACATTCATTATCAATATTCGCATTTCTCATCTATCAACATTTTTCAACTCGTCAAACTCCTTACCTTCCGTGTTTATTTCTACTGTCTACAAGATTGTTATGCAACTTTTTTCCATTCTTCACTTCGGTTGTTTTTACCACTAGGTTGATGATGCAACTGTACTCTATTGTTTAATAACAGAATGATATATGTTTATGATATATATAAATAAGTTTGTACAGCTTTAGAAAGTGATATCGTCGAAGAAGTAAATTCTTATCACTGAATTATCTCTTCTTCTCTCTGTAACTTTATAAGCATGTTTTGAAATCTCAGAAATAATTTTTTTTTTAAATATGAATATTTCTTATCTTCACTTACCTCTGCACTAATTGTTCACTATCGGTTAACATTGGATCATAAAATCTTAGACCTGTATCAGGAAATGATGTATAAGGCATTGTTACTGAAAGTGTTTGATCATAAAATGATGGTAAATACGATGTATTATGCTCAAAAGAATTGATGTCTTCACTATCAAATGGATAGTTTATTGGTTTATTTGTATTTAATACACCATAAGTCATTTGTGATGGAGATTTCTCCACTAAGTCTGTATTATAACCGACAGGATTATCATTGTAATGATTCGTTGTTTTTGAAGTTTTAGTAAACAACTGACATCTTCCATGTGATATCGTGAAGATTACTGAAATGAGGACAGTGCATATGATAAATGTAACAAGTATTATACAAATAATAATCAATTTATTTGCATCAACACTAAAGTTGGGGAATATTGAAGTAGATAGATTATTTAATGAATCTGATTTTCGTAAACTATTCAATCTGAAAGCATTCGATGGGATATCTGAAATTTTCACATATATTGTAGCCGTGGAAGTTTTAGGCTTGATTCCCATATCTGTGGCTAGAATGACAAGAGATACAGTTCCCTGGGGGAAAAAAAAGAAAAGAAAACAATAAAAATGTAAAATAATCTTTTCAATCAACACTATGAATTCATCCTCTATTCAACAAAAAGACAAAGATGAGTTATTTTTAAAGTTTGATGTGAAAATATCTCTCCGTTGGATTCCTAGATGACATCATGATATCATGTAACGATGTTTGATCGGAGGCATATTACAACTGTCTTATTGTGATGGTTCTGTGTTCTTCTAGCTTTAAGTTTTTTGTTGTGAACATTTCATCATCAGAACTGATGATTCATGTTTAAGTAGTGATTTTTAATAATCCAGAGTGTTGTCTTTGACTTAACATCTCCTTTGATCACCCTAAAAGAGAATCTTTGTTCGGGTGAGATTGTTCTGCTAGTAACCGTTAAACTTTGCATCACCGATGATACGTTCAGTCAATTAAACTTTGATTGATGGATGATAGATTATAGATTGGGTCTATATCCGTTTGTCTGTTGATTCAATTTTTTGATTATGGAAGATGAAATAAAAATCTGAACCGCTGCCGGATTCAAACCAGCTAACATCGGGTTTCTGGCTCAATGGTCTACCAACTGAGCTATGAGGTGGTTGGGCAATACTCTTGGTGATTGAAGTAAAAATCTGGTCAGAGGTCTTTTTTTGAAAAAAGGATCCTTTGGTTTGTAAAACATACTCTGTAGTGATTTCATTGGTTTGTTTACCACTCAAATTCTGAACAGATGAAGCAATCGGTTGACTATTTCTGAGACACCTCTGATATAGATTAGAGTAATGCACCTATTGATTTGAAGTAATTACGCTGTTTTCTGATAAACAATTTTTTGATTTTGTTTGGATAATCACTGACTTTGAACAATGCACAACAATTTTCTTCTGCTTTTCGTAGTGGTGGAGTGCTGCAAAGTGTTTTTCACGTATAAGAATAATGGTCGTATACAACATTTCTTACAAACTTTAAGATTATTGTTGTAAACAAGTATGGGAGATAAACTTTACATTTCAGTGCCGACGTATCTGCTAACGTGCAACAGGACACAAACGAGGACATCAAAGCTACTTAGATTCCTATAATGCAGACAAATCACAATTCGCAATGAAAAGCATTGAATTCACTTCGGTTACTTAGTAGAGGATGTGTTTATAGTTGAGAATAATTAAGTACCACATCGTTGATGAGTCATTATAAGCCCAACTTTCGCTCTTTTAGGGAGTTTCTGGCAAAAGAATTCAGGTACCAGCACCTCAGTCGGTAATGTTTTATCCACTGAGATTTGAGCTCAGTGCCCATCATTTCAAACTCTAGAGCGCTTTGCACTAAGTCACTGGACCACGGAATTCACTATTTGTGCAACGACTAATACACGTGTTAGTTTTCGTGTCTTAGCGGATAAAGCTTTAACTTTTGAAGCGATGAAATTCGGGTTCCAGTTTCAGTGGGAACATATTACTCACTTCAAGCTGACGAGCCTGGAAAACGACGAAGTGCAAGTTGTGGACTCCACTGACAGTCACCAAGACTAATATAGTATCATCGAATTAGTTTGCATATGATACATATACTTATTTTGAAGGTACTATGTTTCACGCAGTGACATCAGTCTGAGAACCAATGAAAACATGGGAGCAATGAACAGTTGGAACGCCTCAGCAGTACAATCCAATGACCTGGCTAGGGATCAAACTCGAGAATTTCAGACTTCATGGCGAATGCGTTTACTATTCAGTCTTTGGGTTAAAGTTCACTTGTTCATAGTTTCCCACTTTTGTCGATTCACAATACAACGCGATTATCAGCGAAGTTCTTCAGCTGGTATTCACTTCAGTTCTGCTTGACTGACGCCACAGGTCACAGCTTCTCATTCCAACTTTAGGATATTCATCTCGAAGTGTGCTACTAAAGAGCACTACAAAGTGTTCTCGGATTTACATTGGTTCTGCAACTGACCCCAGTCCATTATGAACATTACCCTAAACATAAAATTCCTATTAACCTGAGAATATAGATGTTTTTATAACATCATTAATTGACACTGTGACTTTATTTCAGTTAGAACACTTTTGTAACTTCGCTACGTCATTGTCGGGTTTTGAGTGATATGACTGAAATAAAATATGTTTGTATCTTATTGTAGTATATTACTAAAAGTATTCTAAGTTGTCAACAGCTCATGAGAACTACTGAAATAACCAAATAGATTCATCTTATTCTGCTGCAATGTTTTTATCTTACTCTTTTAAAATCTTTGTATTGTAAAGTGGTTATGTATATATAGGGATATACATCAAGTAAAGCCGTTATAGTCAGTCATCCTGAGACAGTAAAATATCACTTTCTACAGTTGCACAGTCGTGTATAATTGTATCATCAACCTAGTGGTAAAAACAACCGAAGTGAAGAATGGAAAAAAAGTTGCATAACAATCTTGTAGACAGTAGAAATAAACACGGAAGGTAAGGAGTTTGACGAGTTGAAAATGTTGATAGATGAGAAATGCGAATATTGATAATGAATGTCCACTTGATAGATTGATGGATGGATATAAAGAAGGTGAAGAATGAGACGAGGGTCGTAATGAAGTTGATAATGATAAACTAATAAGTTGTGAAAGTGTTTTGACCATGGTAAGATGAGAGATTGAACATACTCGTTTTGCACTCAGAGATCAGATTTGAATTGATGTATTGCATTACGAGTGTTTCTGTTGTGCTAAACTGTCGAAGGTGTACTCCTTTTCAACTATCCTATCTGACCTAATAAATTATACTGGAGTGGTATATCAGTCATCATTGGACGAAGTGCTGACCCCATGACAACTCCATCCTTTTGTCTATACATCTATCTATCCATCTATCTCAATAATGAATTTTTGAAGTGCACATTGAAAGTGCATCTCAGAAGTGATTCGTTTGAATGGTGCTTTGAGATACTCACGTGAAAATTATGATCTCCGATGTAATCACATAGAGAATAGATAGTTTCCGTGATTGGGACATTGGTGAAGGGTGAGATCACATATTGCGAGAAATCATTCGCTGATCAGATAAGATATATTGACATTATGAAATGAGTCGATGAAGTCGATGGAATCCAATCATCTATGCGAATTCATCTGTTTTCTGACTGTTTGAATGAGGTTTGACAGACAGATGGTGAATTGTTGATGTGGAGAATTGGATGTTGAGTGAGATATTTTTTGTGCACATTTGGGGGACTATGTGAGTGATGAGTAGCAGAAGGAGGATTTTGCAAGTGGTTGAATAATTTTAGTTTGATGTTGGACTCATTTTTGAGTTTCTTCATAATATGTGTGTGGTTTTGTCCAATTTATTCAGTGACATCATTTTAAGCGGGCTCTATTTTCAAAATTTATTCTTTTATGATTGGACGGAGACCATTTTCACTTCGAAGTCCAGCTGATTTATGAGGGCAACTCCAGCATCTATATAAGAACGAACTATTGGCAAATCTTCATTTCTCATTATTGTTGACAGGAATTTAATTAGTTGATTTGAACTTTTCATGTTTCTTGTCTGAAGCTGGTAGACTATCATTTGTTTGGTTGATCAGCATTTCAAACTGGACTTTCATGCCTAAATTATTGTCAGTCGCTGTGGTATCAAAAAATTTCGGCCTCAAAGGTAATGCCTGCATTTGAATGGGAGTCAGATCTTTCTTGGAGTTATACAATACATGTTTTTCCAGTACTTCTGGAAATCGAGAATATATATACCTGATTGTTTAAGACATCTCACCAAGTTGCATTTAGGGTCTTCTGATTGATATTTTGGCATCTTCTGGACGTAGTATATGAAACTGATGAGGTTGCTTTTGGATAGATCAAATATTGCATGGAATCTAGATTTCGTTCCTTTATCACCAGCTTAATAATGCAGTTATACCATATTATATATACCATGTACCTTATTATATGTTCATGATATATGTATAAATACGATTGTACAGCTTTAGAAAATGATGTCGTTGAAAAAGAACGAACTTTCTTCTCTGAGTTTTCTTTTCTTTTCTTTAAGACAGTGAATTACTCTGGTTACATGTATCTTTTCAATTTCATAAGGACTGTACAGGAATCTGATAGCTCAGTTCAGATATACGAGTCTACAAGTTCATTTAAAGAGATGTATTTTGACTAATAAGAATGGACTAATACTCTGAACAACTGAGTAAATAAACAAAACAGCACTTGCCTAATGAGAAAATTCAGTTAGCTTACCATTCAGTTCTTATGTGTGACTGGCTTTGAGATAGATTTCATAAATTTTTCTAGTAAGAGGCAGTGGTCAACTTTTCAGCAATTAGATAACTCATGCACGGACTTTTAATATTCGGCTACATCTTCTCCCACTATCTTTATTATTAGAGAATGCTTTAGTTCACAATAAGCTTTGACGTCATTCTATTAAGCTCCACTTAGAAAAGTTCCTTTCTGAATCAGTCTTATTAACCACTCATCTATTCACTGAATACACTAACTTTCGTAATCTTGTTTGAAAATTTTACATATACTTGAAACCGTCTGTATTCATATCCATTTGATAAGAATGTTCTAAGTTATCACAAAAATTCAACTTGGAGGTTTATGGGGATTTTATTCGTTTCAAGTTGGTATTGAAATTGAAATCAGTTGGATAACCACCTAAAACAGGGTAGCACTGAACAGCTATTTCATCCTAGCACAAGACTCCTCAGAAGTTCGAATCCGAAACACTCCTAAGGATTCAGCCCAGGGTGCCATCCTGAAACCAACAAATTCCTACGAACGTCAAAAGTGAATTGTTATCCAAGATGAGATTCTCCAGTAGGGCAAACCAATCCATACATAACGATCGGTACTCAACGACGATATTGAATGAAGTTTGCACCATATAGCAAATTGACGGAAGTAGCAAAAAAGATGAAACACTGTATTCTAACCTAGTGTCTCAACAGTAGTTTTCTCGCCTCGGAAATTGATTGTCTTTGGTTTGACTGAGGA